TACATATATATATATTAAAAAGTGTTACGTGACTGCGTAAAAAAACTTGCAATCGTAACCCAAATGCAACCTAATTCTGGACACTTAACGCATGGTATCAACAACCCGATTATGCGCCGACACTACACGTGTCCAGTTGCTGGTCTCTTTTGGCAATTTCTTCAATGGTAAAATAGCAGATTTGGTCTTCCATCTTTTAAAAGATGAGCACTTAGATCCCACAACTCAAGACTCATTCATTTAGGTCTCAAAGAGGCGCCCTTCTTCTTGCAATTCAGTCCCTCAACTTCAAAAGATGTTCAATTAATTCCAAAAACTCTTATTTTTATGCATTCAAGTCTTTTTCTACATAAAGAATGACAATCATGTAAAATCTTATAAAATTTATCCAAATATTAATAATATTAATGCAAAAATTTCACATTAATATATATATAAATTCAACTCATCAGTGGAAATAAATATTCAAGAACAGAAAACCTGAGAAAGTCTTACCAAATCTGGTTAAATTCAAGCACATCAAAGAAAAGGTCCAGTGCTGATACATTCAGATAAGTGGGGAGAGAATGGAGAGGAGGAGAAGAGTCCAGATCTGTGTTCTAGAATCAAATTGACGTTTGGTTTTCACATTTCCCTGAATCTCTACTCCCAATTCTTTATGCTCATTGTGAGAAAAAAGATGGCTTTCATTTCCAATGCAGATCCAATTGCCAATAATGCCATATTATAATATTAGCAGGAGCAAGAGCTAAAGGGAATCTCTCTTTCATCAAGACAAAGAGAGGAAGAAAACAGAAATGGGAAATAGCCAACCAAAAGTCACTCCAAAAGGAAAATTAGAATGGTATGAAGTTTTGTGGCTTTGAGATCTAAGCTGATTGATATCTGAAAGGGGAAAAAGGAAAGAAAACACAAACATGATTATTGGAGATTAGTAAGTCAGTTTGGGATTTGAAAGAAATTCATTTTTTGATATAGTCTTATTGTTACAAGGTATAGAAATTGTAGCTCTCAGTTTTAGTTACAACTGAACATAAAAATAAAGAACAGAAAGGAGAATCTGTGACATTGAACTCTTCTTGATCCTTTGCCAGAAAATCCAGGAGTTCAACAGAAGTAAACCCCAAGAACCATCCTGCAAAAAGAAGGGGGATAAAAGAAGAAAGCAACCAGGAGGATTCCCCATAGTTGATCCACATATATTCTCTTTTCTCTTTCCTTCAAGAATCTCCATGTTTATGCCAGCAAACTAGCATGGCAACACAGCGCCTCATGATGTAGAATCTTGCCTTCTGTTCTTTGGCCAAGCTACTATATTTACGCGTAATAGAAGAACCCTTTTGTGAAAAGCTTCGAGGAAGAGGTTTAGAAGAAGAAGAAGAAGAAGTAGTAGTGGAGTTCTTCTGTGAAGCACTTCTAAGAAGAGGAGACTTGGAAGAACTCTTTGTTGAGAAACTCCTTGTGAAAATAGACTTGGATGAAGAGGAGCAATGACTATTTGAACTTTCTTTCTTCGATACCTTCCACTTCTCATCCATGTAATATGCTTTGGAACTTGGAAGTAGGAATTCTTGGCAATAATGGGTGGACGGTGCTCTGATCTATTGAACTGAACTGCCTTGAATTTATGAGAATAATAAAGGGACGAAGTAAGAAAGAAAGAACAGTGTTTGCTGAAGAGATGTAAGATGCTAGGTTGTTGATCACTGATCAGGGCTGATGTGGGGCATTTTGTTCCTATATATAGCACTGTAGGGACCGAAAATTGAAGCTTGCTATTACTATACTTGGATACTATGGGTGTTTATGTTAACCAAAGGACTAATTGCATGGGTGCTCACTGCTTAATTAGGCCTGTATATACTTGACGTCCTGTTGACTCAGCTGTTGTGGCGCTATCTGATTGGCTGGTTCTTTGATCATTTAAGAACCTCATTTTTTTGCTGGTACAATATTTCCTGATTTTGAATCCCTCTCCTCCTCTCCTCACTCATGGTGATCCTTCAATAATCTTGTAGACACCACAGTCGTCAGGTGCTCCATAATAATGTCACTATTTTAACTTCATATATCTACACAAGACACACTCAAGAGAGAGAGAGAGAGAGAGAGAGAGAGGGGTCAGACAGTTGTGAGCTGGTTCTTGTGATAAGGATTATTATGCCATGGTGTTGTACTGAAGACAGAGCACGTTTTAAAATTCAAATGTTTCTTGCACTTTGTAAAAAAAAGGAGAATGCATACAAATACAAATTTTACATTGTCATTATGCTTCTCCAAACTGTAAATTTGGAGGCTCTTGTGTCAAAATTCCACCTATCCTAGATCTCTTGCATGTGTTCCTGTAGCTAGATACCTGTTTAGTGAACGAGTTTATTCCCTTGCAACCCAAGTTCTCTATTTTCCTTTCCTGTTGTGTTTTGAGGATTGAAAAATTGTTTTGCAGTCCAAAATAGTTTTTTGTAAAATAGTAACTTTTAGATTGGAAGAAGGATCTTGATATTGGACTTTTTTTTTCCATTTAGAGATTTTAATTTTGTAATATAATACAGTTTAAATTGTAAAATAAAAAATCTTTTAAAAATCATGAAAACTATAATAATTCACATCACAATACCAAATTATATTATATGCTAACTTGGAGCTAGTACAGGGTGTTGGCTGATCGACAATACAGTAACCATATGAAAATCAGATTTGTGTTGCGTTTTTGTGTTGTATGTGTTAATTTAATTGATATAATAACAATGTCCACCTCTATTCTTGTCGTCAGGTGACAGGAGGCCTTTTTAATTTTTATCTTTTCTTTTTTCAAGGTGATATGAAGGAGAATGATCAAAGTGAGTGGAAAATCCATGATTTAGTCAACATTTTAATGAGTAAGAATATACTGCCTATGATTTGTTGTTCATCTCCATGATCTCAGTGCAAAATCTTCTCTCTTTTTCCTGTCCTATGAAAAATATGATAAAAAAAAAAAAAAAAAAACTTTGTCCTTGGATTCTTTAGATTTTCTTTTCTTTTCTCTGTTCTTGGATTCTTTAGATTTACATGCACAAACAACCCTTTGGATAATGGAATTATAAAGCTTGAATCTTCTTTTCTTTTTCTTTTTTTTTTTTTTTTCAAATACTCAATGTGTAATTAGAACCTCATATTTTAAAGTAGTTCAACAGGGTCCCCTGCCACTCTCCATGTGATGAAATTGATTTGTGCTGTGGTACGGGACAGTCTTCAAGATTTTTCCAACTTCAAAACAACTTCCTTCTCTTTTAAGGGTTTTTGAATCTGAAACCATTTATTTAATAATTCATTCTTTTTTTTTTTTTTCTGATATTGACATTTCGGTATTTAATAACTATATTAAATTTTAAATAATTCAAAATTGAATCGCGTTAAACCCAATAAAGAGAAAATTTTTTTAATGTTTATTTCTTGATTTACAAGAATCAAACTCGAAATTTAGTTTAAAAAGAATTGAACTCCTTCCACTCAAATCAATCGTTGGTATAATTCATTCTTCCTTTTCTTCAAGTGTTTCTTAATATATTGGGAAAAAGGGGTGAAAGTTTGGGATGTCTCCTGCCTGCCAATTGCATTAAACATTTATTTTTTTCCGCTCTAAAATTTTTCATTGACTCTCGAGAAGAGCATAAACACAAAACAATTAAGAAAAATGTAGAATCTTAGAACATTTTCTTCTGCAAGAACATAAGAAAAACACATTTTGACTGGTCAAATTATTCGTCCAAAAGATTTATGTTTATGTGTTACCATACAATTCTCTTTCAATTTTAATACGTCGAAAGCCGAAATTTCCGATTCAATTAGATATGGTTCATTCATGTTGGAATTAAAATGATACGAATGGTCAAGACTCAAGCATATTATAAAAAGGGATCGAAATGAAGTCACATGGTGTGTTGTGGAGGGCACATATATATATATATATATTTTAATTCTATTTTTTGACAAGCTTGTTTAAAGTACTAACTTTCTCTCGATTAAAATATAAAAAATTTAATTTTTTAAAATAAAATTTTGAATTTGATTCTTATAAATAAAAAAATAAATATTATGAGAGTTTCTTTTCTTTTAAGGTTTAACATTGTTTAATTCTAAATTAATAAAAATTTAAAGTTACTTTTAAATATTAACTATTAAATGAAAGAAAAAAAAAAGGCTTGTTTGAGGTTAGTAAAGATTTTGTAAAATCATGTGGGCTAGGAGAGTATGAGCAAGCATTAGAGTTGGGAGGGAGATGAGACCCACATGCAGACATGTGAGGTGCACAGGAATGGGCAGAGAGAGGACATGGGAGCCCTGTGGAACCCAAATGGGACCCTGTTTATGTACTAAAACACATTTAAATAAAAAGTACTGGTGAATACTCATCAAGATCCTTACAAAAATTTGCATGGTGTCCTACAATGCCAATTAATTTAGGGCACCCCAACCCACCATCAATTCAGAGAAAGGGTCCACCTCACCCTGCACTCTTAACACTGTTTGTCCCTTTAGTTTTGTGCCTAAAAAATTGAGACACCCACATTGCCTGTTTTCATTTTCTTTCTTCTTCTTCTTCTTCCTTTTTTTTTTTTCAAATTGAGACACCCTGATTATTAATTGCTGACGTTTGGGTTTTGGCTTTTGCTTTTTGGATGTTTCGTTCTTCTTGATTATATACTCTGCAAATTTAATACCAGCATGGAAAATTTTTTTTAAACAGCAAAAAAGAGTAATTTTATTTAAGGGAGTACAGTGAGAGTACTCCGATCCTGTTACAAATAAATAAATAAATATACAATTTTAATTTATGTGATACATTCCACCCTAACAAAAGGTATAGAAAATTTTCCTTCCAGCACAAGTAATCAATTTCGATCACCTGAACGAGTAAAAGGGAAAGAACAACAACAATGGCAACTTATAAATCAGCTCCTAGGAACCATCTTTGCAACTAGAATACCTCTTTAATTTAATTTAATTGTTTTCACTCAATAAGACGTAAAAATTAACTTCAAGCAACAATATATGCCTTGATATATATATATATATA